AGTGTATTGCTTGTTGCGGAACAAAATAGTGAACTTTTGTTGAAAAATCATAACCTGAGACCAACTGGGTCTTTGGCCACTCATCATGAGGCAAATGCAACAAATTCCTATCCACCCGAGTCAAATGCTACAAGAAGAGGTGGACGTGGAAATTACAATGGCCGTGGAAAAGGCCGTGGAAATTATCGCGGACGAGGCCGAGGACGTGGTAGAAACAATTTTCAAAGAAACAGTAATTTCAAAAATTTTGAAAAACAGAAGGGACAGTCATCTGGAAGCCACAAACAAACTCTTTCAAAAGGAAAAGACACATGTTACAGATGTGGCATGACAGGACATTGGGGACGTACTTGTCGTACGGCCAAACATTTGGTAGACCTTTACCAGGCTTCTGTAAAAGGCAAAGAGAAAAATGCAGAAGCAAATTATGTTAATGAAGAAAATGCTCCATGTCCTACCCTTGATGTGTCCGATTTCTTCATGGACAATGCTGAAACTGGGAATGATTTCATTCTTGGAGAAAACAACAATGCTTAGGTTCCCCATCTACTAATGTAACATATTCTATGTTTTAATGTATTTTCTTAGTTCCCTGTATTTTAAATTTCTAGTCATGTACTTTAAATCTTTATCATCAATAAAAGTTTGTATGATATTATTCTAAACTAATCTTAAATTTATTTTATGAAGATATGGATCTACCTGAAGTTAGTTCCGAATATCAATGCCTTTTGGACAGTGGAACAACACATACTATCTTAAAAGATAGAAAATATTTTTCACAACTAAAGTTGTTTCAAGCAAATGTAAACACCATTTCCGGGTCAGCTAAATTAATTGAAGGATCTGGAAAGGCTTGTATAATGCTTCCAAATGGAACAAAATTAATAATCAATAATGCTTTATATTCGAGTAAATCTCGAAGAAATCTCATAAGCTTTAAAGATGTACGCCAAAATGGCTATCATCTAGAAACAATGACGACAGATCAAAAAGAGTATATATGCCTCACGGCAGAAAAACATGGCAAGAAACATATATATGAGAAATTGCCAGCATACTCTTCGGGGTTATACCGTATAAACATACGACCCGTGGAAATCAATATGATATCTAACCAGAAGTTAGATGACAAACATTTGATTATTTTATGGCATGATCGTTTGGGACATCCAGCAACTGGGATGATGCAAAGAATAATAGCACATTCAGTTAGACATTCAATAAGAAATGTCAAAATTCCCCGATCAGATGAATTAACATGCTCTTCATGTTCACTTGGCAAATTAATAATAAGGTCATCTATGAACAAAATTGCTACTGAATCTCCAAAATTCTTGGAAAGTATTCAGGGAGATATATGTGGGCCAATTAATCCAGCATGTGGACCATTTCGATATTTCATGGTTTTAATTGATGCCTCTACACGATGGTCACATGTTAGTCTACTTTCAAGTAGAAATGTTGCCTTAGCAAAATTACTTGCCCAAATCATCAAATTAAGAGCACAATTCCCAGATCATACAATAAAGAAAATAAGACTTGAAAATGCTGGGGAATTTACATCCCAAACATTTAATGATTATTGTATGTCAATTGGAATTGATGTTGAACACCCAGTAGCTCATGTTCATACACAAAATGGTCTAGCTGAATCACTAATTAAGAGATTACAATTGATTGCAAGACCATTATTAATGAGGTCAAGATTGCCATCATCTGCTTGGGGACATGCTATAATACATGCAACAGCGCTAATTAGATTGAGACCTACAGCTTATCATAAATTCTCATCACTACAACTTGTTTGTGGTCGAGAACCAAGTATCTCACATCTAAAAATCTTTGGTCTGTATATGTTCCCATTGCTCCACCCCAACGAACAAAAATGGGTCCACAAAGAAGGCTGGGAATTTATGTCGGGTTTGAATCCCCCTCTATAATTAAATACCTTGAACCATTGACTGGTGACTTATTTACGACTAGATTTGCGGACTGTCACTTTAATGAAACAGTATTCCCAGCCTTAGGGGGAGAGAAAGTGGACCCACATAAGAAAGAAATTGAACTCATTTGGAATGCAACACAACTGTTGATGTTAGACCCACGAACAAATATGTGTGAACAAGAAGTTAAGAAAATTGTTCATTTACAAAGTGTTGCAAATCAATTGCCCGATGCATTTGTAGACACAAAGAAGGTGACAAAATCACATATACCAGCAGAAAATGCCCCTGCACGTATTGAAATCCCAACTGGTAATAAGGCCATAGAAAATGAATCTCAGGCACGCAGAAAGCGTGGAAGACCACTTGGTTCAAAAGATTCTAAGCCAAGGAAACTAAAAAGATTGGATGGAATAGAAAATGAGACTAATAATGTTCCCCCGTCAGAAGGTCAAGAAAGACCAAATGTGGATGAAAGTAAAGAAAATGATGATAATCCAAAAGGGGACGAACAAGAAGACAACCCTACGGGGAATGAACAAGATGTTCAAAACATCGATAACAATGAAATTTCAATGAATTACGTCTCTACAAAGACTCAGTGGAATAGGAAAGATGTTATCGTTAATGAAACATTTGCAAATTCCATCGCAATCGACATCGTGTCTGATGAAAATGACGTTGAACCAAGAACTGTAGAAGAATGTTGACGTAGGAGTGATTGGCCAAAGTGGAAGGAGGCAATGCTGGCTGAGTTAAAGTCACTTGAAAAACGAGAAGTTTTTGGGAAAATAACCCTTACACCAGCAGGTGTAAAACCCGTTGGATACAAATGGGTATTTGTAAGAAAACGTAATGAGAAAAATGAAATAGTTAGATACAAGGCAAGACTTGTAGCCCAAGGATTTTCTCAAATTCCAGGGATTGATTATGAAGAAACATATTCTCCAGTGGTTGATGCAACTACATTAAGATTTCTGGTAAGTTTGACAGTCACAAAAGGACTGCAAATGCGATTAATGGATGTAGTGACTGCGTATTTGTATGGGTCACTCGATACGGACATTTACATGAAAGTCCCCGAAGGACTAAAAACTACCAGAAAACCACAAGCCTAGACAACTGCTTTCCATAAAACTAAAAAGGTCACTTTATGGATTGAAACAATCTGGAAGGATGTGGTATAACCGTCTGAGTGAATACCTTATGAGAGAAGGATTCAAAAACAACCAAGTTAGTCCCTGTGTTTTCATAAAGCGATCACAATCAGGATTCGCTATCATTGCAGTTTATGTTGATGATTTAAATATCATCGGAACCCCAAATGAACTCGAGAAAACTGCAAAATACTTGATGAAAGAATTTGAGATGAAAGACCTTGGGAAAACTAAATTTTGCCTTGGACTACAAATTGAGCACTTGAGTCATGGCATTTTTGTCCATCAATCAAACTATACAGAAAGAGTTTGAAACGTTTCTTCATGGACAAAGCAACCCCAACCAACTTCCCAATGGTTGTTCGTTCTTTGAATATGAAAAATGATCCATTCAGACCCCGAGAAGAAAATGAAGAGATTCTGGGTCCAGAAGTACCATACTTAAGTGCAATTGGAGCCTTAATGTACTTAGCTAACAATACTAGACCCGACATAGCTTTCTCTGTGAATTTGTTAGCCAGGCACAGCAATGCACCAACATATAGGCATTGGAAGGGAGTTCGACACTTACTCCGGTACCTACGAGGGACACAAGACCTTGGTTTATATTACCAACCAAAACAAGATGCTGCTCTCATTGGGTATGCAGACGCTGGATACTTATCAGATCCTCAAAATGCCAAGTCACAAAATGGATATGTATTCACTTATGGCGGCACTGCAATATCATGGAAATCAACAAAGCAGACATTGACCGTGACATCATCAAATCATGCAGAGTTGATAGCCCTCTATGAAGCAGGACGGGAATGTGTGTGGCTGAGGTCGATGATCAGTAATATCCAAAAGGAGTGTGGAATGAACGCAATAACAGAAGACCCAACCATCATCTTTGAAGACAATACAACATGTATCGCTCAAGTAACTGAAGGATATATTAAAGGAGATAAAACGAAACATATTGCCCCAAAACTGTTCTTCACACATGATCTGCAAAAGGACGAGGAAATAAATATCCAGCAAATTCAGTCTTGTGAAAATCTTTCCGACCTTTTCACCAAATCACTTCCTTCGAAGAAATTTGAACAATTAGTTCACAAAATCGGAATGCGACATCTTCGTGAACTATGCTGAGATCAGGGGGAGTATTATATGTACTGCACTCTTTTTCCCTTCGATCAGGTTTTTATCCCACCGGGTTTTTCCTGACAAGGTTTTTAACGAGGCAGTATACCAAAGCATATAATACAATAATATTGGTGTACTCTTTTGGCTATGGGTCTTATCCCATAAAGTTTTACCTAACAAGATTTTTAGTGGCATTCAAGGGGGAGTGTTAGAAGATAAGTCTAATAAGTGAATGCCAATTATTGATTTGATTACACAATGCTCATATAGGTCCAAACACTTGTGAACTCATATGGCTCTATGTGAGTAATTATTGTATTATTAGTGTAACTCATGGCTATAAATACAATGCCATAAAAGTAAGAATACGATGATAACACTACAACAATTTCACCCATCTTCTTTCACTCTTTTACTCCTTTTATTAATCAAAACTTTTCTATCGGTAAATTCTTTAACATACACATCTTAATCAATGCAGACATATATTTTATGCACAATCGTTTCTATCTTGTTTTATATATACCAAGACCGATCGTACAATAGCAACAGAAAAAAAAACCCGATATCTTGGGGAAATGCGTGCAACGCGCGCGGGTCCACATCTAGTACATATAAATTTGCCAAAATAAGTAATTAAAAGAAAACAAAATATTATATAAATATTATATACATATAAATTTTTTTAAAAAAATAAAAAACCAATTATCCTTTCACAAATGAAAATCAATTCACCCTATCCACCCATTAAACCACGTGCAAAGGGAGGACTAAAAGCAATTGACCTTTTATAACACGTGTAAAGGGAAGATTTTTATTTTTATTTTTATTTATGATGGAAGTGAAAAGGAAGGTTTCGAAAGTAAATTTTCACATTTCAGATACAATGTTTAACTTAAATTTCACTTTAAACCCTAACTCCACTGTATTTAACCCCAAAATTCCCAAAACACAACCACTTCCCCTCTTCCGGTCGTCGGAACGCAGATCGTAGTAAATTCAACTTCGATCAGGTACGTATCCCATCCTCATCTATAAATGTAGTTCCAAGGCTTTATTATTCTTGTATTTAGAAACGTATTATTGTTGAAATTCGATTATCAATTGAGTTTTTGTGTGTAATTGATAAAGACGGTCGATTTCATGTGTTTGTGAAACCTTCTACAATACATGCACCTTATCCTTCGCTTATGAGTGTCAATTTCTTGTCGAATTATGATAATTTCGTGCACTGATTTAGTGTTTGATATGTGTCCTGCGTTTTCGGGGTGGTTATGGAATCGTTTGCCTAAAGGATTTTTTTCATAACCCTCCTCTGCTTTTAAATTGTTTATGAGTTTCAAGTGGTTGTCGAATTCTATTGAGTGCACTAATTTTCGTGTTAGATATGTCCTGCATTGGGGGGGGGGGGGAATATGGAATGTAAAGGATAAAAAATAAATGGAAAGGGTAAATCATAAACTGTCCTCTGTTACTCACGAAATTCGAATTAAACCATAGTTGTTTTGGTTTGCTTAGTTAGGAATGTGTTGACTTGAACCTTGGACTTTATTTTTATGAATATGCCAAAGAAATGCCGACAAAAAATAGCAAAAAGATGGTGCTTATTGGTGGAAAATGTTGTCCCATTTTTAGATTCATTTTGGAAAATGTACTTCATAGTATATGCAATTTTTGTATGGTTTTTTCCTACCATTATGAGCTATTTACTATACATTATCAATTATTGCTTTTTGGTTTTTTGTATTGTTAATAATTTGCTTGACATTGGTAGTGCTAAAGGAAAACAATGTCAGTTTGGCAGTTTGAATTCACACTTGATACTCCTCAAAGGTTTACAATGTGGTGAGTGTTACAAGTGTATTTTCTTAAGTCAACATTGGAGCTTTCTTTTACGCCTTGAACATTGTTAATATTGAACTAATATTAAATGTTACCAGCGCATTCCAAATCGTATGACTAAGGAGGTTCAAGAAATATGGGTTAAGAAGGGTGTTATAGATGGTGTGTTACGTCTTCATTGCAGTACTGAGATCAAAGTGTACCCCGTCCAGTTTAGACATGTGTTTACTGGTCTAGGAAAGTTTGAAACTATTTTAGGTGAAGGATGGAGGGAGTATGTCACCTCAAACAGTTTACAAATGGAAGACCGCATCCAATTAGTGTTAGAGGACAACGATGGAATGCTTTATCGGGTTAGGATTTGGCATGACGAGAAGGAAATTACAGTAGTGGACTCAATGGAGTATGTGCCCATGGAGGTTTTTTTTTTAAACCACCCTCTTTTGAATTCACATTCTCCAAGGGTTACATTGACAAACCTGGAATCGTAAGTTTATCCTATCTTAACTCAAAGGGTTAAATGATATTATTTCTTAGCGTTTATCCTATCCTAGCTAATTTTGATGTTTAGTGCAATTCAGAACATTCTTTTACCCTTCGATCGAGCACATTTCCACAGTCTTAAAGACCGGACTCCAGTAGAATTGTATGTCACCTGGTGGTGGAAAACAACAATGCGCATTAAGTTTGACACAAACAAGAAGATTGTAACTTTCAACGTCAAGAAAGGAGTATCGGAAATGATTGCAGGTGAAGTGGTTGAACTCAGTGAAAAGTCTTTGGTTGAGTTAGAAGGTATGGAACCCCTGGTATTAAGCATTACATTTACTTGATCCTTCTAAGTTAACAAGATGGTTTCTTTTTGTAATTTGGCTATTACTTATCTAGTTGCAAGTTTATGACTCAATGGATCATGGGATTTTGGTTGTGCATATTAGGACATGATCCTTTGCACTTGTTATTATTATTAATGGCTAACTAAATGTAAAGTATTGTACTGCTTGGTTGGATGCTTTTGTTTGTGCATTTTAAGACATGATCATTGCAATTTGTGTTTGACCTATTTATTGTCTTTCATTGTACTATATTTTAAGACATGATCCTTGCAATTTGTCTTTGATGGCATTTTATGGTCTTTCATGCTACTAAATATATGATACTATATTGGTATAATTTTCTGTGGTAGTTTTCACTTTATTGTAAATTTATGGTTTAACCACCAAAGACATCAAATTTATTAGACAAGTATTGTACTGGCCAAATTAAGAGCCAAGCTAAAAACAGCTTGCTCAATATTATCTTTGAACTTAGCAAAGACTGGCCAAATTATGGTAAGCTACTAAAACACTGTTATGATTCCATAGGGACATTGATAAATTAAAGGATGAGTGCTACTTATTGTATAATTAGCCAAAACAGAATTTAACAGTAAAGTGCCATGATCTACTAGTTGCTTCGCTAATATTATAATTTGTAAAGAAAAAGCTTTTACAGTCTTACCAAATGATGAATAGTTGATAATATAGCTTATCTAACTTTTATGGAGAAGAAAAGGAATCTCATATGCAACAACCTTACAAAGACGATGGAGATTAGAAACTTCATGAGAAAAAGCCTAGAAAAATTACAAGGTTATAGAATAATAAAGAAGCACTTTACTATTCCAATGCCCGGTCTTAGTTAAGTGAAAAAGGTACTTATGATAATTAGATTGTTTATTTTATATTTTTATAAAATAAAAGACCTTATTGATATATATTACTTTATTTGTTATCATTAGATATTTTAATTTCATACTTTATCATAAATACTTACATTGAATTGAGTAAGTGTTTTCTTTCATATAATTATAACATACGAAGTATGTCAATATTTAATTTTTTTTTAAAAGCACAAAGTTAAATATAAAAAAAAAAAAACTCAACCAAATGATTAATAATTAAAATATTAATAGCAACCTAAGATATGTAACACACAAATGTTATGGTAAACCTTAATACTCGTATTGGGCCTGATCCTTTTTGAACTCGTGTTGTAATTTTGGGCCTTAATAAACTTGTACAAATGCACATAAACTACATGAGTAGGGTAAGGAGTTGGGAATACGCAAGATTAATTAGATACTTGACTATATAATACATAATACTTTGATAAATAAAGTCATTCTACTACTACAGTAGTATAGCAAATTCTTTAGGTCACCATATAACACGACTGGAGTTCAACAACATGATAAGTAGTAGTTAAAATAAAAGTAGGTCTAAGACAAGACCCGAGACAACTTGAATTTGAACAACAGGGTACAAATACTAGAACACATCACAGTGAAGTTCGAAGACCTAAACACATAAGACCAGTGACCAGCAAAGCTTAAAATAATATTAACGGAGAAGACCATGCAACATAGGTGTCAAATAGTTGGTTGTCATCAGCCGTAATATCAACGCAACGGTCACCAAGAGTCTCATCAACAAGGTGTAGGTGTCGTTCAAAGTGTGCCTACGTTAAAGCATGTTGTGAATATGCTTTGCACTCATAGGAAGTGGGAACTAACATTATGATTAGGGACAACGATTAGGGAAAATGAAAGTAGAGAGTCGCCAACAAGTTTTTAAGGAACTTGTAAACCGTTCACGGATTATTTAAGGCAACCACGATTAAGGGACAACGAATGCAACAACGATTGACCCGTGAAGGTTACAACCCATTCATAATCCATGAGATTACTAACTCCATATGGTTCGGAACAACAAAAGGAGGATAGGGGATGATGGTACGAAGTGAGTTATGGAGTCACGTTCGCCCGTATTGACCTCTACTCGATTCTTATAGAGAAAAGTGATTCTTGTGATCTTAATGCAAACAAAGATTCAAATCGCTCTAAACTATTATTAAACTAAATTGGTTGAATATTAATGCAACACATAATTCTAAAATATTAGTGATCACTTGAATTAATAACAAGATTAAAAAGGAACCTCGGGTCAAGTATGGACTCCTTGGAGTACTTACGGGAAGAATGGTGTAATTAAGAATATAGGTTTAAGGCTTAGAATATGAGAGAGAGAGAGAGAGAGAAGAGAATGATTTTTGATCTTAAAGAGAGAAAGAGAGAATGATTGGTGTCCCGAATTGTAGAAAGGAGGGGGGTATTTATAGGGAAAATGAGCAGAGGGAACACACGTAACCCTAAAAAGATAAAAACCCTAAAAAAGGTTTTCGCGATACGACAAAAAAAAATCCGGCGACACGGAAAAAATTGCCGTGACACGGGAAACTCTTGTGGACGCGGCATACTCTGGAGTGACGCTGGAAATATTTGACCTACGGGAGTAAAAACGCGTGAAGGGTTTACGCGGAAAAGACACGAGAAAATTCCGTGACACAACACACGTACTTGACATGGCAGTGTCCACCGTGGCACGGTACAATTCACTATATCACGGTAGAAAAATTCGTGAGAAAACGCGGAAATTACACGGAAAAAGCACCGTCACACGGTGAGAAATACCGTGTCACGGCAACAGGTACCATATCACGGAAAAAAGGTACTGTGCCAAGGTGGAGTTTCACGCGAAAAAACATTGAAAATAGCACCGTGACACGTTGTAAAGTACCGTGTCATCAGGCGCCGTGACACGGTGCTTTTACACTGTGCGGGGTAATTCTAGTTTTTATACGTTTGTAAAATCATTATAACTTTTGATCTGTAACTCAGAATAAGGCATATAATATATCATTGGAAATCTTATCAAGTTTTCTTTCCAAAGCAATTAGAATCAAGTAAAAATCATTTGTAGAGTTTAATATATGGGCGTTTTAGTAGAAGGGTGTCGGTTTCTTATCAAGTCTTCTTTCCAAAGCCCCCACTTTGACTGAGTTTGTAGAAACGTCTGTTTCGAAAAGATAGTCAAAGTAGTTGATAGGGACGAAGAATGATTTAAGATGTTTTGCGATGCTAAATCACTCTTTATACGCCGATACTTGCAGAAAAGTGTTAGTTCTATAGATAAAAGAGTAAAGGGATCAAATGCTTATCTTACACTAGTGTATCGGTGACAAATGAGTTTGGTAGCTTCCTATGCTTGAAGGAATCCACTGGATGACGTTTGATGAAATGCTTTCCATGCCAGAGGAAAGCCGACTGACGAGTTTGGTAGCTTTCTATGTGATAAAGGAATAAACGTGTCGTCAATTGTCTATCCCTAGATCAAACACAATTTATAACATCCTAAACAAACCTAATACGAGTATAAGGCAAGTATAGGGTCGAACCCAAAGGAGTGAGTCGGTATTAACTTTAGCCTAAATCAAGCTACTTTGAAGATTGTAGTGAGAAAATGGTTGGTACTATGGTAACAAAGCTAGATTAATCAAGTAATTCAAGAAACTAACACTAGGGATGTAGGTTCCACATGCAAGTTCAATAATCATGCTAATTGATAGTTCATTCAATTGATTCAAGCATTGCAAAGGACAAACAATAGTAGCAATCAAAAGAATCCAAGAGCTATCTCCTATAAGCCAAGCTAGGGGTCACTATGAATGGCTAATCAAGGAAAATCACAATCAAACTCAATCAATTAAAGTAATTCTCAAATTGATGGTTCATGTCATTAAGAATTGCAATGCAATCTAGATTAATCTTATATGTTGATCACTCCTAATCAAATTAATCACATGCAAAACAATGTCAACCAATTTAATTGCAACAATTCAATCAATCAATGATCATCAACTAGCATAAATCATCAATCAAGCATGCTTCCCTTTCTCCCTAGCAACTAATCTACTCACTAATAATGGTGTAACTCAAGAACAAATCACTAGAAATTGCAATGATCATCATTATAAATCAAAATCAAGAGAAAACAATATCAACTTCAATATCAAATTCAAATCCAAGGAAATCAAACATGAATCTAAAACAAACAAGTAAAGAGATGAACTAAAAGAAGAGATTCTCACTAGTATTAATGATGAAGATGAAGAAATCCAAACACAATTGAACCAATGTTGAAATACCAATCCAAATCCAAGAACTTCTCTCTAACTTCTCTCTCTAAAACTAATCTAATGAAAATTATCTAAAAGTTCGTTTTCAAAAAGGAATTACAAGTGTATTTATAAGCAAAGAAGGAAAACAGGTTCCTCGCGCCCTCTCTAAGAAATCCCACGCCCGCGGAGAAATGGGTACAAAACCCATAACAAACTCCGCGGGCTGTCTGGGCAACACCCGCGCCCGCAGAAAAAGCCACCGCGCCCGCGGCAAGGGCGCGACAAATGCCCTGCTCCCAAAGAGTAACCAGGGGCCCGCAGTCTCTCTAATATGGAGTGCTCTCTCCGCGGGGAGCCCTCGGGGCAACCGCGGGTAGTTCTTGGTCGATTTTGGCTAATTTGGTGCAATCGAGCCCGCGCCCACGGCAACCTGGCAAAGGCTGATGCCCTCTCCAAGCCCTCTCCAAGCCCTCTCTGAGCAGATTGCTTCCTCCTTGCTTAGACAATATAGCTCATCTTAATCCCTTTGCAAAGACAACTCCTAGGTACCTACAAGAGCAAACAAAGGAAAGGAATAAAAGGGTAAAAGGGCCAAATAAAAATGAAAACACGAAGAAAACACGAAAAACACAAAGAAAGAAGGAAAGATAGGAACTAAAGGAAAAAGGACCAAAAATAAGATAAGAAAGCATGAAAAAGGGATGAAATCATCCTAAAATACTACCCTATGAGGGCCATAAATGACACTCATCACTATGCTTGAAGAAATCTACCGGATGCTACTTTCCATGCTTGAGGAAAGTCAACAAATGAATTGATGGTTTTCTATGCTTAAAGAAACCACCGATAATACTTTACATGCTTGAGGAAAGTCGATAGGTGATTTTGGCAGTTTTCTATGCTTGAAGAAACCCACCGGTTGAGATACTTTCCTTGCTTGAGGAAAGTCGACATATGATGTAATCGCTGACTTCTTCGCTTTGAGAGATGACAACGACTGACAATTTTCCATGCTCGAGGAAAAACTTGTCTAATAAGATTGCAAGTCTC